GATATTTGTATTGAGAATTTAACAAAAACTTTCGTTACCATTAAAATACTTGACGAAATTTCGGAAGGTGTTGATAATATTTGTGAAATAAAACGGCACAATGACGTAAAAGAGTGTATTGTCGCCGTTAAAAAAGTTCGAGATGATGCCGAAGAAATAAAAGGAAAGCGCTTTGAAGTTAGTGCAATAGTAGTTAGCGGCCAGCAGAGGCTTCAAGCGATTCGAACTCGATTGGTATTCGTAGTGTTTTCAATGAAATTTTTTAGTGAGAACTTGATAGTCACGCCAATGATACAAGATATTATTTTCAATGATTCGTCTTCTGCGACTAGCATGCTCTATACCTTTATCCTGAAATTTTGACAGTGATTTTATAATATTGCAGTTATAATTGGCTATAAGTTTTAGAACAGCAACTGCCAGATTGGACCTAAATGAGTCCAAATGCATCCGAACCTTGTTTTTCCTGAACATCCTTTATAGATGCTTGCAACTCTTAAAGAGTACTCTTTCAATTTATTGCTTTATCAAGAAAAACTCAGTCAAAGTTTTGAAATTTTTGAAGATAGATTACATCATGTAATACTTTCGACTATAACAGAAAAAAATAGTTTAATTAGTGACGAGAAATATCCAGATTGTGCAACATGAGTAAATACGTTTTCTGAATTAACTCGTTTGAATTCAGATGATTCTTTACAATCATCATAAAACTGAAAAGACTTTTTCCGACAGAAAAGAGCTTTTTTTATTATGTAAAACTACTAAAAAAGTATTAGAAGATGGAAAAAGTAAAGATATTACAGCCACAAACGAAATGGTTAAGAAAAATATAGCTATAATTGTAAATTTTATTGAAAAATTTGCAGAAATAGAAAATTCTTTAAAAGAATTTCATCAAATATTTAGATGTCTTCTACCATATTGTTATGAACTATTAGATTTGCCAAAAATTAATATAAAATTAAGAAATAATATTTATAATCATATTTCCTATCAAAATCAAACCTTTGATAATATTGAAAAACGTATTAATCAATTAGTAAGTCAAGTTATATCTTATTTAAATTCAAAAAAGTTTAAAAACATTTTAGTCAAATTTTTTGCCAATAAATATAGTTCCATATCGTTAGAAGTAATTAATTCTATAGAAATACAACTTGAAAATATTAGTCACAATCATTCTGTGTATTTACAAACTAGATTTGATGATTTTACTAAGAGTAATCTTAAAGTTTTCACGCGTTTTCCAATTGAATCATTTTATAAAAAGTGGTTTTTGTTTATTGAATGAAGTACATCGAGAATTGCATATCATGTGATTGTATTTTTTGTGTTTAAATACCAAATTCAAAGATTGACAAAATCGATTTGTCCTTTGATACAGACGAATAAAAGTTTTCAGAATTTGTTGCTGATTCTTAAATTAGTAACTTTAGTTTATTTCAAATCGGAATCGAACTAAACAGTAAAGGAGCTTTTAAAAATCTTTTACTATCAACTTAGTATCTGACACAAGAATATTCAATTGAAATTAATCATACTTTTTCTGTATTGACAGTTTTTTCTTCAATTTTTTTCTTAACAATCAAAACTATAGAAGAACAAAATTCTTCGGTCAAAGTTTCATGTGAATAAATTCTTAGAATGATAGTCTTTTTTTTGTAACATTAGAAAGTCGAGTATAAATTTATGTTAATCGTTGAACTATTTAGATAATTTATATTTTTTTTCAAGTATTTAATGATTCTATATCATGAATTTGTTCATGTTTTCAATAATATCTCATATGAATTTCTTAAAAAATCACTAAACTTGATCATCCAACAAACTAATGCAATTGTCATCGATGAGATTGATCTCTTTTAACATAATTCGTTAGTGAACTTGCTTTTACATTCAATTTCAATCTAGCACAAACAGGTTCTCATTTCTTTCGATGAAGTTGAAGTGTTGATAAAATGAAATTAATAATATCAAATAAAATAGAGTCAATATTCTTCGCAGTATTGAAAGTGAAATTTTTAGAATTTGAAATAATTAGAAAAACCAAAATGGAAAAACAAATACAAAATTATTCAATTATCTTAAAGTTCGTTGGAGTTAAAGAAACAAAAGATTTTAGTTCAATGTACTCACAATTTTTATCTTTCTGAGTAAATTGTTCACGTGTTTTTAGTATTTCAATGATATTTTGTTTAAGTCGATCAATATCATCTTGAGCAAAATTTTCTTCTTCTCAATGACAATGAATTTCTTTTGTGATTGATTCAAGTGATTTTATTATTGTTATTATTTGTTTATCAATTAATTCGATAAGTTCATTATGAGCTTTTTTTACTGCTTGTTTTCTTTTGAGGATAGTTGTTTTTTTTTCTACTGTTCAATTATATCAAAACGACTCAATGACAAATAATTTAGTTTTTTTCTAACTTTTGTATTTTGATATGTGATCTTACAACTTCAATATTTTTTACATCCAATGCAAAAAGATTTGGCTGAAGATTTATTGCAGATTGAACATAAATTTGATTTATTTAATGTTGCCTTTTGTCTTGAAAGAAAATCACTGGATTTATATTATTTATTAAGTGAATATATCAAATAATTTCGATCATGTCCGTTTGGTCACCGAAAACGTCATTTTTAATACCATGGAGTTTATCATTATTTATCTTAATAAAATACAGATAGCTGTGGTGACACAACAGACTATTATCTGTCTCTGATTTTCATGATAAAGAAGCCTTTAAGGTTGTGGGTGTGAATAAGAAAAGAAGAGATACATTTACAGCCAGCATATCCATTTAATTGTATTAAGATAAATTTAGTTAGATTAATATGTTTTGTTTCAAACTAAATAAAAAATGGAAATGTTTCATAAAAATCAAAATTGATACCAATTGAATCCATTGCAATTTCATTTGAGAAGCGTTGCTGAATTTACGAGACTTTAGGCATATGAGTATAGACTTCAGACATAACTTCATCGTCGAACAATTTGATATTGACGATAATGAAACAAAACTTGTAGCAAACAGCTTTTAAATCATAAAAGTGACCAATTTTTTTTCTCTCGAATAAATCAGTTCGAATCTTTGGTTTAGAATGGCATAGAAAATATTCTCTGACATATTCGATTTCATTCTATACAAATGAATTGATGTTAATTCATCTTTACTTTGAATCGATCTGCAGGTTTTCTGGGATTTATTTTAGAAATTATTATATTTTGTTCGAATTCTTTGTCAAGAGTTTCTTTTTTTCCAATAGCTGAAATGTTTCTTCGATAGATAATGAAGACTCATTTTAAGCGATGAACTAATGTCTTAATATTGGGTGTTGTTGAGTCCTATAATACTTACTATTAAGTTTAAGTTTCCATACTTAACATTTAGTTCATACAAAACTCAGTTTAAATGATGGTATTGAAGCAAATATTATTTAATTTCAAGTCTTTCTTCATTTCAAACGGGAGTTAGTATCGTGTACTTTCATCCATTTAAGAGAATAGGCCTGTTAGTCCCTTCATTAACCGAGAGAAACAGACAAAAACTCAAAACTAAATGGTATTCACATAACATAATCATACAAATTTAATTTTATATGAATTAAATTATAAGTAGAAGAAGCTAAATTTATTAAATTATAAGTGATCCAGAAACACTTTAAATTAAACAATCAATTGATAAATGTTGATTTCTTTTAATCAATTTTTAGGATTAAATAAAAATACTTATCATACGAAAGACATACTGTAAAAAGTGATGAATTTTCCAAAAAAAACAGAACAAAGTCAAATGACTGACATTTTCTTTTCTTATGAGATCAAAAAGAGAAAAGAAAGTCACATGTGCGCCTTGAATGCAACAGATATTGAAAGGATTATCTCTTGGAAATAGAATTTTGAACTGAAAACTTTATTTCGTATACACCTTAAATCATATGGTCTAATTTTTATCCATACTTTGAATAAAACCAAGATTATATCTTATGACTATTATTCAGATACAAAATAACTTGACAATCATCGTTGATTTCAACCTATTTCAACAATATTAATTATGTAGTTAACAGAAGAAGGCATCTTGACACAACGCGATCTTCGATTCGATAATTAAATCGAATGTAGTTTAACCGATTAAATAAATTAGACATGATTTGGTCTTGTGGTTTTCAAAGTAGTTGAAAATATATCAGAAAAAAAACTTTCAACTAGTTTTTAGCAAGAAATTGACTTTCTAATAAATAATCAATGCAACTATTTGAAACATTTAATTAGAAAAAAAATCTTTTTATGCTTATATCTTTAATTGGTATTGAGAGAACTTTTGCTTACCTCCAAGTATTTGATCTTGTGCGAATCAAATATGATATCAATTATTAAGACTTTCAAGAAATACCAAGAGATCCGTCTAACGTCAAGTTTCTGCATCAGATGTTATATTCAAATCTTCGTATTTACCGTATTTAGTCATATTTCAAGTTGATTTCGATAAAAAAGAAAAATCGATTGATGAGTTTATGTTAGTATTATCAAATGTTCTACTATTAAAATAGAATAAACAACATAGAAATGTCATGTCCGATAATATCTTCGAGCAGCTGTTTCTATAAATCAAATGCTGAGACTCATCATGTATAGGTTACATTCTAATCACTATTAAATATTGTGTCACCATGAGCAGAATGTAACTGCAACAGCATTAATCTGTTTTTACGTAATTAAGCATAGCAACATGTTTTCATTGTCAAGTATTAAAACTCGAAATCAATAATCCATTCATAAAATTTCTTTGAGTCGAAAGGGCTTTCATAAATTCTATGCGAAAGCAGTCGAAGATCGACACAGAGGTCGGGTGTTGGTGCGGGGTGTAGGTGTTGGTGCGGGGTGTGGGTGTGGGTATTTCCATCATTTCCACCCACACCCACACCCCACACCCAACCCACACCCACGCACACCCCACACCCACACCCTTAAAGTAAAATTTACTTTGATGTTATGATAAGACCAGTTTTCTTACTGTTGACATCTTGCCTTTTAATTTTCCACGCTTTATTTCAGGAAGTTTTGGTGAATTGCCAATAAAAATAATATCATGAGGAGCTTCATGTACCATTGAATTTTTTTCATTGAATTCAGGACAAACTAAATATATAGACAAAAAATAAAAAGAAATTTTTTAAAAGTATCTAGAAACTTTTACTATTACTACCAGATGCACTTGTTATGTTCTTATTTTCTTTGTCCTAGAATAATTAATAAATATTTATTTATTATTTTATTCTCTTCAATGACATTAACCTCATAATCATTTTCTTGAATTTTGTTTTTATAACAATCATTTTTTGTTTTTTTTAAATGTTGTTGTTATTGATCAGAAGACAAACTTTCGAATCTATCTTCCATAATAATCGAGTTTTTAATCCAATAAGACAATAATCAATAAAAATCAATGTAAATAAAATACCGAATTATAACTTGAACTAAAATCAAGATAGAAAATTTATGCGAGACAAATAGAGTCCACGAAAATGTCAATTATACCCTTTGAATTTTTTTTGTTTTTTATTACTATACGCTTCTATCTATTAACCTACTATATATAGGAAGAAAGTCCAGAACCCGCTGCATCTCTTTGTATATTTACATTGAACATGAAATGCAATTTAAAGTATAAAAAAGTGTATTACAAGAAAAAGATTTTTTTTTGTTTTTATTCCATAGTGTCCATATTGTTGTAACATTTTTTTTATTTGGCATATATCTCGGCTTAGGTAAATGATAAAACCTTAAATTTTTTTTTTCAAAAGATGCGTCGTGAAAAGCTCTAGAAAAGCTGTATGATCGAATTCGATTTTATCTGTTCTAATGATTATTCTTATACTCAAAATGAATAAGCTCTAGGTAGCAGTGTCACTTCCCATCATACAGAAAATATTTCAAGAACTTTTCCAATTCCCTATTGGATTTCCTATACAAGTTTTGTAGAGCTTTCGACGGCATATCTTTTAAAAACAACTTCAATATTTCGTCATTTTCTCAATATGAGATACATGCAGAGCAAAAAAGTCTTTCAACATTTCCAGTATAATGGGAAGTGACACTGCCACCTATAACTTATTCATTTTGAGTATAACAATAATCATCAGAACAGGTTAAAACGAATTCAATCATACAGTTTTTCTAGAGCTTTTTACGATGCATCTTTTGAAAAAAAATTTAAGGTTTTATCATATATCTGAGCCTAGATATATGTCAAAGAAAAAAAATGTTACAACAATATGGACACTATGAAATTAAAAAAAATCTTCTTTTTCTTCTAATACACTATTTATACTTTAAATTGCATTTCATGTTCAATGTAAATATACCAATATATGCAGCGAGTTCTGGGCTTTCTTCTTATATATAGTAAGTTAATAGATAAAAACATATCAGAGGTGCAGAATCTTCTTCGTGCGCCCCCGCGCGGGGAGGGAAATTTTTTGAAAAATTACATTAATCAGGGAAATTTTGGAAAATTGTCAGACTGGGGAAATTTTGGAAAATTATCGGTGACAATTTTTTAAAATTTTCCCAGTCTGAAAATTTTTCAAAATTTCCCCAGTCTGAAAATTTTTCAAAATTTCCCTAATCTGACAATTTTATAAAATTCCCAGTCTGTGTCAAAATCAGAAGCGAAGCTGTCTGCAAGAGTACTGCCTCAATCCTGAAGCAACACATTGGTGGCAATTGACGTCTGAATCATGAACTCTTAGACAAAGAAGTGATGTTACATTGGAATGCACAACCGCTTCATCTAGAAGATCTATTCATCAAGTCTTGCCCCAGCAACTACTTCTCTCAATTGAAGAAAAAACACTGGATTTTCTTCAAAAAAACAGAACAACATCGTCTTCTCAAAATAGTTTCACCTGGTTCAGTTGTTTTGAACCGCTTGAGAAAAGAATAAGTTGAAAGAATTCCTATGTTGTACGAACAGTAACAAACAGAACAAAATGTTGCCATGTTTTCTTTTTACTTATATTTTGTGCCAAATAAAGTTGGTCTGTGAGTGGCGAAGAAAAAACAGCTCTGGGGAAATTTTTTGGAGAAAATTTCCGCGGGGAGGGAAATTTTTGATTTTTTGGAAGATTCTGCATCTCTGAAACATATAGTAATAAAAAAAAATCAAAGTGTATAATTGAAATATTCCTCGACTGTATATATGAGAATGGTGTATTCTCAATTTTTGGAGGTGAAGGAGAGGTTTTCGTATAAACTCTATTTCTAGCTTTGATAAGTAATTGTTCTACCATTCTATTGCCGACTAAACGCGTTATGAATGGAACGGTTAGAGAGTGTATAAACAAAGAACGTCCTTTGTTTTGCAAAGTGTAGACACGACGAACGTATATTCGTCATTGAGAACGTTGGTCATTAAACGTTTGAAATCACCTTGTTATAGATATCGCTACTACACTATATAGTATTTTATTTAAAATCTTATCTATTGGAAAATATCGATGAACAATGAGTCATTCGATTTTTTAGAAGAGTTAAGATAGAAAATTTCGCATCGCAAATTCAAGCACAATCTATTTAATGTTTTATGTATCTGCTGTAGCAATTTTTAATTTTATAGAAATGCAAAGTTTAAAAGAGTTAAATTTAATCTTGTTTGTTTCATTAGATAATGCTCTTCGATAAAACAGTTTTCATTTTCTTTTCAACACATCAATCAATATTTTTTACATGAAATTCTTAGAAGGAAAGATTTTCAATGGGTCTATCAAATTTATTCCAATTGTTGATCTTTATCGTAGAAAACTTATAAGGGTGAGAAAAAAAACTGTGTTATTTAAAGATTGATACTTCGGAATGATTACAGGAAAATATAGTAATAACATTGAATAAATCAACTGATAGAATAAAAAATACATAATTAAAAAGAATGAACTATTAATTTTTCGAGATAACAAAAAAGTTTCACTTAAAACATGATACTTGTCTTAAAAAATAAATCCTCTCGTTACTGCGATTCACATCAGAACAGACAGCAAATAATTACTATTCGAATAACTGAAGAACATCAATATTTATTGATGTTTGGTTTTCACCATATTCTAACCAATACTAGAAGACATTACCACGTTGAACAACTAAAATTTTCAAGCTTAATCCAATGATATTTCCATGAGAATCTTTCAAAAGCATGTTGTTGTAGGATGATAATTTGATCGGTAGTTTTTTTAACGACTTGATTCGGAATAGAATAGTTCTCTCTATAGTTTCACACAACTATCAAATCTACTTATACTGACGTACGAACACAAGAGTCTACACATTAAAAGTACTCAAAAACATCAAAGCTGAAGCCTGAAAATTCATTTTTCTATGCTCCATGCACTTCCAAAAATAATGAACTCACAAGCTTCCTTTCGCACTAATGACTGTGGGAATGTCGTCTCGCTATATAAGAAATTTTATCTCATTCTATTGCAGGAAGGTGCTTCAATTTCTATTGCTGTAGATTTTTCATCTATTCTTTGGTTCTTACTTGTCGCTTTTAAAGCACCAATTTAGCTTATGATATATCTCCATTTATTTCTCGACTCGTTAACAAAGATCTCAAAAAGAAAACAAAAACGAGTTGTATTTATTATAAACCAATGTATAGTACAGTAATATTCATTCGAAACTCATTATTCTCTTGGCTATTTTATTCAGTATCAACATCAGATTTCACATCCTTCTCTGCGCTCATCAAATATACATAATATCACAGCAATATAAAAAAATGATATCTGTCAAAATTTTCCTTCACTACATAACAAAATTCAAATAGATACTTTTTGCTCATTTCTACTAGCATATCTATAAAATAATGCGTTATTTTGTTTTCTTTTGTTTTGATAAAAGCAAATATGGTGTCGATTGGTTTCATATATTGGTTTCCTTCGGTACTGTGTGTGAGATAACGCGAGAAAAGCCTAACGATCCTACCATTTATACGATTTTCGATTTTTTCTTTGTATGAAGATCTTAAATGATATCGAAGATCGAATTAAAATACTTAGAAGAAAATTTTATTATTAGAGCAGACAAAGAAATATATACATTACTCTTCGGAAAAGGTCGATCTAGTGAAACAGATCCTATACAAGCTTTTCATCATCCGATAACTGAATTACTAGTTTTCTTCAACCACTATTAATTAACGGAAAACCAAGAAAATTATTTCCAGTTCTTTCAAAATATTTTATCGACAACTAAGGAAAACTATTGATAATTCTCTCTATCATATATAGAAAATTGGTATCATACGGACTGATCAATACGATTTAACCTTCCGACAACTTATGCTCACTTCATACAACCCGTACATCCTTTTCCATTAAGAAGACTGCATCCAATAAAATAATTTTTATTTGCAATACTAATAGCCAATTCCATTTGCTTCTTCATGTCTCCATCATAACATCAATGTTTTCCCTTATTAAAGTAAAGTAAGACATATTAGAGAGCGCCATGTGCTCTTTATTTTCTATTGATCGATACTACTTGCCGTTTTTTTGTTCGTTTCACCGTCATATTGAATCATTCATATAAAAACGAATGTTTCTTCTTGACACGAATTATGTTTCAATTAATATTGTCATATTAGTGGATTATATTTGACTTTATTCGCATAGTTTATAGATCTTCCGATCATTAACTTTTCTTCTAGTTAAAAATGGACGATATCAAACGAGAAATACTAAACGATCTTTTTCGAGTAAGAGAACTATGTTCTTATTATAAGACCAAATTAAATTTTACTTTACTTATTTAGTTAATAAATGAAATAATTGATGATTCAATTGAAGATGACGTATTAGACAAAATGGAAATATATGTTGTAAGTGAGAAACCTTTATTTTATATCTAATAGTGTCATAATTGTCTTTCAGGATCATATGCTTGAAGTAATAGCTTCTTATGAGGTAAGTACAAGATGATATGTTTTATTTTGAATTTATTAAATTTTTATAGAGTCAACAAGTATCATCGTCGTCATCACCACCACTAAGTATTCCACACCAACAGCAACAAATAAATAATAGATTTTTCAATGATGCTTATCAAGGAACTAGTAAAATTTTCATTAGTGAGCAAAAATAATATATTGATCGTAGAACGTAGAATTATTGTTAGTCTTTTTGAGTAACATCTCGTTCGAAAGATCATTAAAAAGGGAACAAAACAGGACTTTTACGAAAGTTTTCTAATTGTACTAGGTCGGCTAAGATTTTTCGATGCAAATTTTTTTATTCATCTAATAATTCATCTCTACTTCGTCTCGATATTTTTTTTTTGTCCAAATCTTTCCTTTCGGAGTGCTTCAAGTGACTATTACGAAAAAAGTAAATTTCTCGAAAAATATATTCTATTTCGTTTTATCCACTGCTTTCAAATTTCCTATTCATTTATTCTATCAAAATAGACTAATGATAAAAACTACCAAAGATAGATACAATTACAGGAGGTTTCTATGCTTTTTACATCAATATAAATCAAACTGAAATTATCTAAAGAAATAAAACGAAACGAAACGAAAAGCTGAATATTTACATTTGAAGTTAAGAGTTCAACAGTCTTAACTACTTTATAAGTTTTCGTTGTGAATGTTATCATAAAAACCTAGTGAAATTTACAAACGTGTCCATAAATATATGCTGGAAGGTATTCTCAATAAATTTCTATTCGACTGGATATTTTTTCTACATAGTTCGATTTAAATTCAATCAAATTATATTCTCTACTCATTTTAATACTCACAACAAATATCAACTTTCCTTATCATTTTTTTTTGCATTGCAAAAAAAAACAAATTTTCCGATGCTTTTTGTTAAAATCTTATATTCAACTCTTTCCTTTTTAAATGAGTTTTGGAGATGACGCACGTTTGTTTCTGAATAATTTTTTTGTTGTATCTTATGCGAAATAGGGATGACTAGAAAATGCATTCACTTTCACTTTATCATTGTCTTCGTGAGTGTCAATATTTTTCAAGTTTTGAGATTTTCGTGAATAAATCTCTACTTGAGAATGTTTAGGAAAATGATTTTCTTTTTTGCTCACCTTTCATTGCTCTTTTTAATGAAATATGACCGAAAAAATATTATAGAGAAATTCTATGTTTTATAATAAAAATACATTTTTCTTGAATTTTTAAGAATTTTTCATAGAAACTTTTAAAAAAATTTCCTTTCTCAACAACTACAATAGATGAGAGGCTAAAAAGAATATCGTATAACTAATTTCGAGACAATCAAATAAGAACAGTTTTAAGAAGAAAATTACTTGACGCTTTTTTTTTGTCTAAATTTGCTTAAAGTGTCTCTCAACTCTTCTGATTGGATCGAAAGAACCCCACGAAGAAAGATGCTTTAACAATTTTATAAACTTTTCCAACAACAATTCAACTACTGGTCGTCATACCATCTCTATCGAACAGGATTTCAAAAGGAATATTTACCTTTTTCTAATATTGAGCTACGAGTGCCTCTACTTTCCTAATACAATCTACATCTCATATTCGATATTAAAACAAAATTTCATCATCATAATAGCATATAAAAAAGAATTTTTAAAATATAAAAAAAGAAAATCTTTTCTTGATCATTAGATTCCTCAGATTTTAAGATCGAAGAGAGTTACGAACAGAAACACTTTCACAGTTTAGTTAGTCCTTGGAAATATAAATTAAAGAAATAAAATCGATCTCCTCGAAATAGTTCAACTACTTCTATCATCAATCGTATCTTTTTTTGTCTGTTAGAACTATTCAATATCTTACGTCGATGGTTTGGTATTCATCATCACAACAAAGAGAAACTTGACTAACAACAACTGAAACATATTGTTTTTTTTTGCTTGTCGTTTTCTTTCTTTTTTTTTTTCTTATCGTTGCTATTTGCGTTAGTTTATTATATAAGGAAACAAATGTATATATTGATAAAAGCTTTTTTTCTTGTTTAAATATATCTATCTATGTGAGAGATTCCAGACTAACGAACTTGGATTGCACTCACTTATTCCATTGGTACAATTTGAAAGAGGCAAACAAAATCATTATTTATTGTCTATTTGTCAAAAGAATAATTTTTTTTGAATGAATTTATTGCATCATAATGACAAGTTCAACAAATAGACTTTATGAAAAAAAGATAATAAAGAGGAATTAAGAAAAGCAAATGATGATTTGAAAAAAAAATGTTTATCAATAAAGAGGTCTTCAATGAAAACAACGTCCATGAAATAAACACAGAAATAAATAAGGAAAATTTTAAAGAAAAAATCTCTTTATTTATGATTTCTTATTAAATTTATTTGCTTTTTTTAAAGTTTATTATTGATTATAAACAAACGAAGATATATTGAAATTAAATAAACTTTATCGTTATGTTGTTCAACCATGTATTTGAAAAGCAATGTCGATTGAAATATTAAAAATTATCAAATAGATAACTAAAGTTACTGGTACTAGTCATTATCGACAAACGATTCCTTCTTATTAAATAGTTTATCATTTATATGAACAACTAAAACAACGCCATTATTTTATTAAACGAATAAGACTTAATACTGATTCGGTAAAAATTAAATAACAAATCTATTATATCCTAAAAACAAAATCTTTCTTTTCATTTCGAGCCTTTTACATTATTGTTTGAATCTCATCCGAATATTCAAACAATAATAAGTTCATCTTCGTTGTTTACAAAATAATGAACATAGTATAGATGAAAATGAATATTTTCCAAGAGGATTTATTTTTTATATGAAATCTATTCGATCAATATGAGAATATGATTTTATCTGTTTTATTTGTCATACATAGAGCAGTCCAAAAGTAGTGGCGGAGGTTCTTTTTTTTCTTATAAATAGCTAAAAAAAATTCTTTTTTTACCAATCGATAGAGAATCTTTCGCTCTATCGTTCTATGTTATTTGATCGAATGTAATGCTCATCGTCGAAAACGAGATCGTCGAAACTGACGCCGAAACAAACATTATCGAAAAGAAATATCGCCGAAATAAAGATCGTCGAATTTTTTTCGATGATCTTTATCAGATACATTCTTCACCCAATCGTTATTTTCGTTCACTCATTCGGTATGAATCGCATGCAGGGAGCGGCTATTTACCTATGTCATAAACATCATGAATTGCAATCGAGTTTTGCGATAGATTCCGCGCTTGCTTTAGTTTCTGACCTGATTCCTAAGTTAAGTTAGTTCTTAATTTAAGCTAGCTCCTGACTTAAGTCAGTTCCTAACTGCACTTAGGCACTTTGACTTAACAATTGTATATCTCAGCTTTGAAAAACATTGTCAATGACTACATCGCAGAAAGTGACATCGTCGAAAGTCATATCGTCGAAATGATAGATTGACGATTGCCCCATTACCGAAATCATATTTCGCCGAATTTCGGCAACCTGTATTTCGGCGAACAGCATACTTACCGATAAGATCATATTAAGCATTTATACCTTCCTTCAGATAGCTATTTTTGTTGCAAGTAAACGACCAAATACTGAAACGCTGTTAAATTTTATTGAAAATAGTACAATAAGGCTATTGTAAAAAGAATGATGGTCTTATATTGCAGATGCTTCGACTCCAACTACAGCAGCCGCATATGAAACAAGAACAAGAATACCGTCCAGCAATCCTCGAGTAAATAGAGGTAAGATATTGCTGATAATTATCTTCAATATGAGATTGATTGGTGGTGATGCGATTTATTAGATTAAAATCGCTGCCAGTTTTTTAGATACATTGAATACATAACAGAAATTCTACGGTTATATGATTACATTTCGAAAGGTTTTTCTCATGTATTAATAGTAATCTCATGTGTAGTTACTCGATATTTTCGAATGAATTCTACAGTTCATTTGTAGAATGGAAGTGTATGCCGCTGATGACAATGAGAGTTTTACATTCCTAGTATTTCTATCAGAATATGCTAGTGAAAATATGAAAATAGTTTTAAATAAAAAGAATGAAACGAATCGATGTTTTAAAGAAACTTTGTACTCTCACATTGTCTCGACTAAGATATATAGTTGGAGGCATTGACTTCCCGCATGTTTGACTGACTTGTTCTTGGCAATTTCTGCTCAAAGTGAATGGAATTATAAGAAACTCATTATCTCATTGAATATTAAGTAAAAGGCAAAAACAAACTATGATTTTATGTTCATTGTAATCTGACACGGTTCACATCTCTTTAAGCCATGAGAATAGAAAAATCTATGGTTCGAAGTCAGCATATTTTAACCGATAGGGTATGTCGTTTCAGAAACTATATTTGAATGTTGTATGTGAAAGTATATTTAGTTTTTCTTTTTGGTTGAGCAAGTGAAATCTTTATGACATTTCAATGAAATATTGATAGTTTCTAGTTTCATTGATTATTTGAGTGCTTGAAGAGACTTAGATTCTTCATGATCATTTTATAAGTGTAGTTCGTTGAATTTTACAGTTTTATCTATTTCAACGAATTTCCGAACTTCATTGACAAATTGAAAATTTCTAAATTTCTTCACTTCATTGAATTTTGATGATTCACGATTAGACATGTGCGGGACCAAAAAATAGAATTTTACTGGGACCGGGACCAGGATCGAAAAACAATTTAGTCCCGGTCATGTTTGCCGTTGATAACAAACATTGGCGGAAATAGAAGTAAGAACTGTTCCAGATCTAAAACCGGCAGATTCTGCAACAACTTCTCTGACTATGGACAAATAACAGAAAAAGTAAGGTTACTTAGACTGGGTGTAGAACAAAAACCAAATTTAACACATTCGACGCGATTCGGTTTTATTAAAGAGTAGCTCTAGAGATTCATTTTCGTCTGCATTCATCTTGCGATAAATGCACTGCTTGGTCTTTTCATCCTATACTGATCTGTCGTTTTCTCTTTTCCATTTGTAATATTACATGTAGCGAAGTAACCATCCTGTAGTTTGGCGAAACTCCTGTGAGGTCATTTCAGCATGACATGTCATTCGAGAAGTTGAATCAGCAACCCAATTCAAGCGCGAATTCACTAATCGCAAGCTCGAAGAAAAGGAAGGATTTAAGGGCAATGTCTACAGACGCTGTA